TATATATATATATATATATATATATATATATATATATATTTGTCTATATATATATATATATTTGTCTATATATATTATATATATATATATATATATATATATACATATATTTTAGCCACTTGGTACTTATCATCATTCGTAGTGTGCATACTAGTGGTGAGACTATAGAATACATTGTCCGGGTAGCTGAAAGTTTTGATTGGAACCCGGTTGATTCACGCTACGTGGTGCTTCCTTCTTAATCAGCCAATAAGTTAAAACTATTCCTCGTCCCTAAGATTAAATAAGAACAATAACTTCCATTAAATCATTGTTATTATGTATTATTTTTATATTATTATTATGATTATTATTATTATTATTATTATTATTATTATTATTATTATATTATTATTATTATTGCATGTTATCGTTTGACAAAAATGTAAAAATCTGATTGAATGTGGGTTCTTTTTTCATTGGCGTTGGCCCTCAATTTTTCTTATTCGAGTTCAAAATAAGGCTTTTACCATGGTTGCTAAAGGCTGTATTTATGAAAAACAGGTGAAGTTTACGTCTTTTCAACATCCATAAACGGCTAAATGCAATTTATTTAATTTAATTTTTCATACTTTGGTATATTTAGATGTAAATAATTGTGATATGCGAATATCCAATTCACCTACCTTGATATGAATCTCCCCTCTCGTATTCATTAGAAAGCCGCCTATTTTCGATAGAATTGCGTGAGCCGTTTCGCTTATCTGAATACGATTTGCTATCCAAAAAATAAGTAAAAATAAAGAATCTAAATACCTCAATCATTGATATTTTATCACACAATTCATGCTTTCAATTAGAAAAAAAACTCAAAAGTAGCCTAAACTATATAGATTCCCAACGGCATACAGCTTTAGAAATTTCAAGAATCGGCAAAAATAATAGATAGAAAAAAAAAAAAAAAAAACGATATATACATTACATAAATAAGCCAAGTCATTAGAACCGTCCATGCTCGTATCAAGGTCATTTGACATAAGCACCGTACACACAACATAGGTTTATGTCGATTGACCTCGATTGACCTTGGATACGAGAATGTGCAGATCCAACCAGGAATTCGCTTATACAAGTCTAAAAATGTAATAAACATTCACATTACCAGAGCTGAGTTGAACATATATATTTTTTTTAAAGAAAGAAAGCTGTATACGAACCCAATATTTCTATCCTAAGGTTATAATTTTAGTGATAATAATAATAATAATAATTATTATTATTATTATTATTATTATTATTGTCTTACAATTTTCAGAAATACAATTTTATTTTTGGATAATTTTCTTTTATTATTAATCTAAATAGTACTTACGGAGTCCAGTTGATTCCATCCGGGAAGCCATGTTGACGGTTTCACCGAATAAACAATAGCGTGGCATCTTCGAGCCGACAATTCCAGCAACAACTGCACCTTGGTTGAACAATAATATATTGCAAGATGAATAATAACTTATATCTTTAAGATGTATCGTCCTCTAATAATGACAAAAAAATCTTTAAAAATGTATTTTGAAATTAACTTGCTCATTTTACAGTACCATACAAATTATTGACTTAAACATAAAAATTCAAACTGAATTTAGAAAATATGTACCCTGATTTTTATACCGGATAATGATAATAAAAATAATAAAACGCTTCCAGTGACTGGAATTGTGTGTATCAATTTTTGCTGTAAATATGGATAAACGTTTTTTAAATACATTGATTTATATTTTCAAGTTGATGATTTTTATTATTTTTTTAGCCCATTTTGCTTCGGAAAATACCTCTTTTACCTCAATGTAGCATAATGGAAAATCATGAAATTAATAGTGTATTAAAACAAATCGTAGTTGTTATATGCTCGGATAGAATATAGGATTAACGATTTTCGTTGCCAATAAGCATTCATGCACACAAATGAAATGAGACATATTGAATAACTTTAAATTTTTTTTTTCATCTGGTCTTTAGGCTATTTGTATATTTTGAGATGGAACTCCATGAAAGCAACTTTCTGACAATTTGAAGTCTTATTTTTATTTATAACTTACGAATAAGGCGAACCTGTATTTACCATTAAAACGCATTATGTTATTATTATTATAATACTAAGCTCACAAGAGAACAAGTTTCGAACTTTCAAATATGTTGATTATCAATTACCTGTGTGTATACCAACTCGTATCGTCATAGAGTAACCCGGTTTGTGTGGGATGCCAACACCTTTAATACAATGTGTAAGGTCTAATGCCAGAAGAGCGATTTCACTGCCATGTTTATTTCCATTCCGCTTTGGTATGCCTGTTGATATTAATTATAATTGATTTTTTTTAAATTCATAATACTACTACTTATATCATTATTATTATGAATAATAATTATTATCATTATCTTATTAATTATTAAAAATGGGTTTGGATTTTTTAGAATAGAACAAACCTAAGACTTATTTCCAGTGGGGTCCTTCTGGTGACAAACAGGGCCGAACACACCACGAGAAAATGCCTTTCAAATTTCTAATTTAGTGCACTACTTTCTTTAATGTACACATGTGCCATATGTTGTATACTAGACGAAAAGCTAAAAAGATGTATTGTCCCCTAAAAAAATAATAATAATTTTGAAATTAGCTTGCTCATCTTGCAGTAACATATAACTGGCGCATAGGAATTATTGAATTAAAAAAAATATTTACCATGATTTTGATACTAGATAATGATGATAATAACACTTTCAGTGACTTGAAGTGTTTTTATCATTTCTCTTTTTTGCACTGTAAAAATATTGGTAAACTTTTTTTTAATACACTAATTTCTATGTTCAAATTGATAAATTTTATGTTACTTCAAATGCAGCAAGTTAAATTCAAATTTGAATTTTATATTTTTGGGTAATTTTCATTGGACAATACGTCTCACACGAAAAATGGTCACAAAGAGAGTAACAATGAAACTGAACGGTCAGAAAAGATCTCTACAATTCAGTGCACACAAAAGGTGCTTCCAGCTAACTGCTCTCTTTTGAAATACGTATATCTTCATTGTTATAATTAGTATTATTATCAATAATCCCATTCTGATATGCCATGACTGCTATTAAATATGATAGTATTGCTTCTATAACTATCATTTTATTTAGACGTACGAAATTGATGTTGACTTACGCAGGTTTTTGTTGCCTTATTACCAGGACTTTCAATGTTATCAATTATTATCACAATTATTGTTATTATTTTTGTTATTATTATTATTAATATCAATATGTTTAATTACCCGATGCAACCATGTAGGCGTCACCTATAGTTTCAACTTTGTAAACATCATATTTGTCGATATAGTTGTCAAAAATAGTGTAAACATTATTCAACATATCGACCACTTGGAAAGGAGTGCTTTCCGAGCATATCCGAGTAAATTCAACAATATCCGAGAACATTATCGTCGCTGAACAATAAGATTCGGCCTTAACGTGCTGATGACGTTTTAGACTCTCTGCTACCGATTTCGGAAGCATTTGGTACAACAGCGTATCTGTATGTTTCTTTTCCGTTTTGAGGCCTTTGGTTATGTCAGCAAGTATAAGTGTGTAATCTTGGATTGATGATGTCAAAGATTCAACAGCTTTAAAAATCACGATTCCAATTATGACCACTACCACCATGATACTGATATCAGTCAATAAACAAGCTGTGTCGGTCTTTACTGCCTCGTCGAGCTTGGAGAGAATGATCACTGCCATCCTACTCTGGATCTCATGTAAGGTATCGATATAGAGGGTCATATTGTCAAACCACCATGTCCCTTCTTGCCAGGATGGCAGTCTGTTCACATCATTCCGAGATATTTCTTTTCTCATTTTCGAAATTGTTGTCTGAAAATCATACTTGACCTGAGAAACTCTTTCATTTAAGATAGAGCTGACTAGAGATGAGTATTTTTTAGATGACTTTATATTACTTTCACCGACTTGCAGTTTCTCCATATACCATAGGTAATCCGTTTGCTGAAACCCGCCTTGAGTAAAAAATACAGCACCTAATGTTCGTTCAATACCAATTTGCTCCATACCAACAATCAGGAGCTGATAAGCCACCAATGTTTCCCAGACCCCCTGCCCACCAGACTTCCCTACACTCCCGTTGAACCAGTCGATAAAGATCTGTATTGCGTCCGTGTAGAAGTGAATTACCTCGTAGATGGTGGTGTCTTGATTGTCTAGTGTCAGGCGATACTTAAAGAGAAAACTCATAAATGTTTGCTTGTTCTTGAACTTTTTGTAAGCCATGGTTCCTTTTACTGGCCAGTCATCAAGACTCTGTAAAACCTCGTCTGTCATAGGGTAGGTATCGACCAGGAAAGTCTTTCGTTCTGGCCCGTTCTCTTCTAGTAGTGAGCTAATGTAGAGTGCGGTCATGTCACGCTCCCGCTGCAAACTATGGATAAGAGATCCAACCTTTAAAAAAAAAACAGACAGGATACTTGTTTGTCTTCATAAAACAACGACAAATAATTTACAATGACAGAACATGTTAAAGTGTCATTAGTAAATTAAAGAGCGATCATGCATAAGCCTTAAATACAATATGCAAGAAAAACAATTGTTTAAAAGTCACACAATTGAAATTTTGTCAATGGCATTTTAGATATGTCGAAGAACTACTAAACTTATTTCATTTTAAAAACCATATCAGTAAACAAACAGAAAAAAAAATTTAAAAACAACCAAATGGTTCTGGTTGGTGCTAAATTTATATTACGTTGATACGTTACCTGTTGGCTTAAACGAACGTTCCTACGCGTTACAGTTGCATTAATACTGCGGCTCACAGTTGTAATGAGATCTGAAATGGCCAAAGCTATTAAAGCAAATATTGGCAGCAGAATAAGTATCATCATCTTAACTATTAGTTTTTTCTTGCCACTGGACGACTGACTGGAAGCGCCGGTGCACATGTCATTATGTTCCTGCTTCACTGCCTCTTGAATAGACTCTTCCGCCTATCAATTATTCATAATAATGTTGGTTTTATTAGTTGCTTTCTTATAATTTAGAGTGCTCAACATAAATCAAGCGTTGACCAGTGCGTTTATAAGCTACTATAAAATACTTTACGACCAACTAAAATAAGAGGCAATCACATTTGATAATATTTATTGTTTTTATTATTTAATTTTTTAAACGTATGACCATATACCACAGTTCAATAAGGGTGGTTAGGACTCACTTCGGTTTTACTCTTTATTAGGTAAAGTTTAGCAGTTTTAAAACGGACAACGAAAGAGTAATTCCAATTTGTTTTATAACAATAAGAAAAATCAACATTCTAACTAGAAAAAAAAAAGGGAAAAAAACCTACTTTACCTGGCCCATTGATCCAACACTTGAAGGGGTACTTAGGATGTTTTTTCTCTTCCTTTTGACGAGATCGTTGGTTTCGTTGGTTAGTGGCTGCAGACTGTATTGATAATTGAACATTTAGCATTTAAAACACAATTTAAATAATAATAACAAGGACGGAACAGATTCGATACGAGAATTAACCATAAAAACCATTATTTTGCATTACCGAACTCTGAAATATAAGATAAACGTTACCTTCAATGAAAAACATAAATTATTAATTTTAAATAGATTTACAT